GTTCAACGGCTGGATATGCGTTGTCCTATGTCGACGACTTCATCGTCACTGCACCTCGACCCACGGCAGAACGTTTCCTGAAGAGGCTCTCAACCATGTGGAAGTGCGCAGAGCCGAAGTGGGTGACACAGCACCAATGGTTGAAATTTTGTGGAATAGAGATGAGGTGGAAAGGTGATGAATTGTTGGTGGGGCAGCCTGACTACACGCGGGAAATTGTTAGTCGGTATCCCGATCTTCAACCTCGCCAAGTTCCCCTCCCGAAGTTGGATGATGCGGACCTGGAGGAGGGAATTCTCCAGGAGGAAGTGAGAAAATGTCAAACCATCATCGGCGAGCTCCTTTGGTTGTCAACACGAACCAGACCGGATTTGAGCTTCGCTGTCTCCTACCTGGGATCCAGGGTGAATGCTTAAGCTGGCTCATCATGTGGTGGGGTACCTCATGAACACCCTTGACTATGCGCTCGCCTACAAGCCCTGTTCCGAGGAGATGGATTCCTATGGTCGACGTGCACCAACTGGAGGAAAAGGTCATCAGGGCATCATGTGTCTCTGGGGCGGCGCTTTGGTGGCTTGGGAATCAAAGACTCAGCCCTTTGCAACGCTGAGCACAACTGAATGTGAACTTCTGGGGTACGTTGATGGCTTGACCCTGGGAGAAAGTGTTGGGGCGATTGTGAACGTCCTCGAGCAGAATGCACTGGCCCACGAAGGCTGCTATGTGTTGCGAGGCGACAACCTGTCAGGTTTGCAGCTGCTGCATGCCCCAAGCGGGCCTTGGCGAACGAGGCATCTTCGACTCCGCAGCAATGTTTTGAGGGAGCGGCTGCAGATGAAGCTGTGGCATGCAGAGCACATCCCTGGCGCAGATCTATGCGCTGACCTGTTGACGAAGGCGATCACTGTGCCTCGAAGCTGGGAGACATTTGCTTCCACGGTGGGCTTGGCCTCGGTGAACACTGAGCCCTATCCAGAGGACCCTGCGCGATCTCGCATGAAGAAGTTGGCGCTGGGCGCGGCGGTGGCATTGGGACTGTTAGTGATGGCTCCTGGCCTGGGCACTGCAGTTCGTGCTGCATCAGTGTGTGGCCTGGCGGCCCTCTCAGCATTTGTACATAGGAAGCTTCAGAAGACGGCAGAATGCCTGTCAACAAAGAGGTCTAACGCATCCCATTCAAAAGAAACATCAAGATGGTCGAGGGAAAATGAACCCGGCCCCAACTCAAGATGGTCGAGGGAAGATGAACCCGACCCAATCGGAAGCGGGAGAGGTTGCAACCAGGTGAACAGGTCATCCCCACTCGTCGTTCGCTCGACCTCGATCGATCCTTGCCGCACCGGCACCCCATCGGCCGCGAAGAGCTTGAGCTCGCTTCGAAGCCATGGCATGACGCGCATGTGCGCCATGAAGGCGCCACCTCCGAAGGCCCCGCCGAAGCACGTGGGCCTCGGCACTGACGAACCTTGGGAGCTGGCAAGGTTCATGTCCCCACCTACTGGAAATGACCGGTGGGAATGCCTGGGATGTGGCTCCGCTAGTGGAGAATGGTGGTTGAGGGTTCTGAAGAAACCGCGAGTGCGGCAGTTCCATCCGCTTCACAGAGGGACGCCCATGTCCATTGGCCGTCTCTCACCAACTCGCATCACCGTGGCCTTCAGCCGGGGGAGCACAAGGGAGGCATGGGTTCGCAAGCTCTCCATCGACGACTGGGTGGAGAATAGAAATTCAGATTTGAAAGGATGCTATGAGTGGTGTGGCTACTCATTCTTCTTCGTGAAGTTCGGCCCTGAGACTGGCATCCACGAGGGTGGGAGTTCTTTGTCTTCGCAGGCTCAGCTGCCGCACCGACCAGGTGGGGGTGATCCGCCGGTTCATGAAGAAGGTGGGAATGATGGTGGCGTCTCTTCGTTAGCTGCGGAGAGGGGTCGAAAAGCTGTGGAGGCCTTAACTGGTACTTCATTCCGAATGTCACGTGCCTATGATGGCACGGCAATCAGCGCACGAGACACTGTGGCCTTCGAGGGTGTCGCCGCTAGAGGCGAGACGCCTTGGGTGCTTCGGGCCAGCTGCATCGACGAGGTCTGATGACCCGAATGAGGAGGCCTGGAAGGTCTCTCTGGAGAGCGAGCGGTCAAGTCCGCCGGAAGCCGATGAGCTGCCCATTTGGATGGGCATTGAAACGCCCTTTGTGAGGCCATCAGGCCTGAGCCATGACAGTGAGGACTCACGGTCAGCCGGGAGCTTTGAATTTTTGGGTGAAACCACAGAAGAAAAAACCTGTGGTGGATCCCCATGAGATATGCTGGCGCCATATGCCCAGCATAGGGGGAGTGTGAATGGAAAAGACACACGACCCAAAGCATACCTTTTCATGAAGGTCATGAACACCAGAAAAAGGTGAACCACTGGTCAAAACGACCTGCGTTTGGCTCAAGGAACAACGTGAGCGGCTGTCTTTTTTCGGTCGGTCGCTCTTGAGGCTTTTTCCATAACCACAGATTTATTATCAGTGTGGATGGAGAAAAGGGAGAAAAGAATACTAAGTATCATGTGTCTTCATTGTGGAGGGAGAAAAGGGTGAAAAGGAAGAACGTAATACAACCGCCGTTTAAGCAATCTTTTTCAGAACCCAATCACTATGAGTTGGCTGAACTTTTGTTATTTATCTCGTTTTCATTGCTTTATAAGGGCTGGTTGTGAATTACACTATGCCTATCGTACATCGCCCATGATTTGGTAGATCTACTCATTTATAGGCTACTGGCAATTTGCTATAGGCCATTATTAACAGACCATGCCATGACCAAATTTAAGCACACAAAACACAAAGGTTGGACAAACCCATTGTATAAACCCCTTACCCTCTAAAAGTCCATCGTATTTGCGCACACCCTCCGACAAGACCCATTTTATAAACCCCTGACCCTGCCAAGGCCCTCGTATTTGCGCACGCCCTCCACAACAACCCATGTTATAAACCTCTCACCTTGTCAAAAGTCCCTCGTATTTGTGCACACCCTACCACAAAAACTCATTTTATAAACCCCTCACCGCCATCGTATTTGCGCACACCCTCCCACAAAACCCATCATGTTATAGACCCCTCACCCTGCCAAGGCCAATCGTATTTGTGCACACCCTTCCACAAAAACCTTTTTTATAAACCCCTCACCATAGACTGAACTACCATGTATGATATGTAGTTTGTCAACCTGTGTTCGCCTCTGCTTCATCTTGCATTGATGTACATTACCCTACCCTGTGCTACTTCTCCTGTTTGTATCCCACCTTCTTCTACATCTATTTGGAATAGTATATTATCCGAGTCTCATTGCATCTTTGACACAATCTTTTTTTAATGGAGTAGAGTACAGAAGTTGGGACGAAGCTGAATGGCGAGGAGTGGGCTAGTTATCCGATAAACAGTGAGAAAGCACTCCCTAATACAAATAATATGTAAACTCTTTCATAAGCTCCTTTTCGTATTTATGCACCTAAAGGCTTTGCAGGCAGCAAGCAAATGATGCAGGATGCCCTGGACATGCACATACTTTTTCACTCTTATATATGTTGCCTGTTCTTCAGACCGAAATTGAATGATACAGAACATGAAAAGATGTGAACGCGCAAGTGCGCAGAAGGTTTCAACCTAGGACCTAGGACAGGAGAGGGAGGGAGTGACAGACGAAACGTAAGCCTACAACCTAATTTTATGCTTGTAATGCAACGGAGGACTCAACAAGGATCGCACACCCATGATATTGTTCAATTTTGGTCACAATAATCTCATGGGTGTATTCTGTCTGTATGTATGCTACTCTACTCTGCGCTATTCTACCTGGATAACTAGCCTAGTCTATCCTATCCTGCCATAGTCTTTGACACACTCTTTTAAACTCGAGTTGCATCTTTACAATGGTTTCCAATAGTGGTTAGAGCCAAGATCAGATCTTTACACAGCCGATCAGAACTACCTTGTACTTTGTCAACCACAGACCAGGACGACTACAGTAATTATATATTATATTATAGTATATTGTATTATATTGTATTTTACTATATTATATTATATATATATTGTTATATACATGTAGTTTATCAACCTGTGTTGGCTTCTGCTGTATCTTTTACCCTACCCTATGCCAGTTCTCCTGTCTGTCACCAACCTTGCTCTACATTTATTTGGCATAGTGTATTGTCCGAGTCTTCTTCGCACAATCGTTTTTTTGAATAGAATACAGTAAAGTACAGCAGCTGGGACTGGGACGAAGCTGAATGGAGAGGAGCGGGCTAGTTATCCGATAAATAATAAGAAAGCACCCCCCAATATACAGTAACCAATATGTAAACCCTTTCATAAGCTCCTTTTCGTATTTATGTACCTAAAGGTTTTGCAAGCAAATGATGCACTCTAACGCTCTGCAGGATGTCCTGGAAATGCGCGTACTTTTTCACTCTTATATACTCTGCCCATTTACCCTAACTACTTTGTCCTACTAATTACATATTACATACATCATATATATATATATATGTAGTTGATCAACCTGTGTATCTTTTACCCTACCCTATACCACTTCTCTTGTTTGTATCCCACCAGGCTCTACGTTTATTTGGTAAGGTATATTATCCAAGTCTCATTGCATCTTTGGCACAATCGTTTTTTAGAATAGAGTAGAGTACAGCAGTTGGGACGAAGCTGAGGAGTGAGAGGTCGTTATATTATACGTAAAGGTCCCCCCCACATATATATATATATATATATGTGCAAAAGTGATCGGAGTGTTCATTAAATTCCAAGAGCTTTCCCCCGCACGCAAAACACCAATAAAGCCACACGAACCGCCAGCACACCACAAGCACAAACAACACGAGCCCTTGCCACTCTGGATAAAGCCATGCAACCCCAAAGCCGACAGAATCCAGCGAGCCACCAAAGAATCACGGTAGCCCAATCGGACTCCAGCCACTCACCCAAGCTGCCCATGGCGTCCAGCCTTGGCAGCATCCATGGTGACCACTTCCCAGTTCACCGAGGAGGTCGAGCCCGAGCCCAAATCGATGACCTTGGGACGCCCAGCATCCGACACGGTTCCAATCGTGGGCAGGTTGGAGGTGAAACCCCATCACCGAAGGTGCTGAGGACCTCATCATCCAAACTGCCCTATCTCAAATGCACGGGACTACTGGCTCACGGTCCCACAAACATGTCAGATTCGCAGTGATGCACAGGGAGTGCACCTGACCCCGAGTTTGTTGATCTGCTATTCCACAACATGTGCTGATTGAACGTGCTTGAACCATGTTCCCAAATGTCAATTTAGGTTTCCTTCCTTTTGGTCCTGACAACATCCTCAGGGCAATTATGTGCTTTTTGCCTGCAATCAGAATCAAGCATGTCTTCGATTTTGAAAAGCCATGTTCTCTGGCACTTGCACAGTCAGGTGAAAACGACTTACACAAACTGCAAACCCCATGGAAATACATGTTACTGTACAACCAAAAACAAAAATGAGCAAAACTATCAAATGGCAGCATTGTCCAATTCAACCCTCACGCGAAAGATTGATCATGCACAAAGCAAGCACCCTCCCCGCAGGTCTCCCCGCCCGACAGGGCCCCCAGCCACAGCGATGCTCACACCACGGTGTGGGTCGAAGTCCCCCGCAGTGCCTGGTCCAGAAGGTGTCTGCGAGCAAGGTGGGGGGCATTAACCATAGATGAATACCTGGAGCATCCAGGCAAGGTTGGATGGTTGGGCATGGTTCGGGTGATCACCATAACCTCATTGACCCATGATGAGCAGTCCTGCGAAGCACAGCTATGCATCGGAGACTCGGATTGTTCCCACTGCACCTAGAAGAACTGTACTGTGCATGAAAGCTCTTTTGCAGCAGGGTGAAAGAGCAAGAAACTCAGTCATGTTTGTGGCTGCAAGCGCCTTGGATCTGACAAACCCCTCTTCCTCGGAGTATCCGGTTGTGTCAGCTCGACCACCACCAAAGGGTGTCAGGAAATGTCCTGATGGGGCACACTTACAGTAAGAGTCTTGGCACATGTTCTTGAATGAATCTATCAGAACCCTCAAAACACATCAAAGCGCCACATTTCCGATAGCACATGCGCCCACATAATTGACATACATTAGGTACAAATCGCTTAGGAGTCAAGACTCCCAGTGAGAAAAGGATGGGCAGGTAAATTCCTAGCTCATGTTGGAAGCGCTCTGGGTACTGAATGTTGGCCGACTATAGGTGGAGCAGGAGGCGCCCATGCACACCCATGCACATCTATGCACACCGTACGACAGCAACAAAACATGTTCCCGATCCAGTGCCGGTGACTATCTAATCACCTGCCGTTTCGTCTTCAGCTGTCGTGTACTCTAAGCACAACAAATGATATAACTTATAACTCTGCGCGACCAACCTGGTGATGCTTTGCATGATCGGTTGTGTTCGCTTTTGCCTCCTGACATGGGATTGACGCACTCCGGACACCAAGCAGTCAAGGCAAGTGACTTGGGAACATGTGACTTCTCATGTATATACCTCTCTTAAATCCCAAGTGATCCGCACCCAGTATGTGTGCATGCGTTACAACGCTGCAACCAGCTCCGGAACTCCTTCTGGCGCTGCCAGCATGTCAGCATGACCCAATTGCGGCATCTCAGCATGACAACGTGTCAGCACGGTAGCGTGACCCATGTTAGCATCCCAGCATGACAACGTGTCAGGATGACAGCCTGCCTGAATGTTGGCGTGACACCATGCCAGCATATCAGCGTGACAACATGTTAGTGAGTCAACACGTGGGCATGACAGCATCGTATGCAACACACCGGAATCACACCATTTCAGCATATCAAGTCGACATCACCTCATCATGACAACATGTTCGCATGTCAGCAAAAAACGCAAGTGAGCATGATAGCATGTTCGCAAGTTGCATGATGACAGCGCCCACGATACAAGAATGGTAGCTTGACAGCATCACATGATGTCAGTGTGACAACATGATTTGTCATTTCCAAAAGAAGCATCAGCATGCTCGTCTTCCGCCTTTTCCACGACATCTTACGCCGCTGGGCCTTCCAGGACCTCTGCGGTGTGCTCGCAGACATCCACCAGCACCAAGCCTTGGGGTCCGCGGCAGTACGGGGTTCGATGGGGCTTTCGGGATCCAACAGGGACGGAGCTTTGCCCAGCGGTGTGGTTGACAGGTGGGACACCGGGAAGCGGTTTTCCCCGGTGCTCAGGTGGTCAGGGGCGACGGAAAAGGCCACCAACCTTCGGTGCGAGTCCAAGAGAAGAATGTCCGCGTCGATCAGCAAACTGGTGACCACACCCAACGGTGAAATGACTTCAGCTGTGCCTCTGGACTTCCTGATTGTGAAGGTCCTAGCCCTCAAAAAAACAAAGGTCGACGGAAAAGGAAGTTCTTCTTATGAGGTTATGACGAAAGAAAAGCTGGTAGGTATATGCTTGATGTGTACTCACGAAGTGGCTTCCCCAGACACCCAGAAGTACTCTACCACGCTGCAGTATGATCCAGAAGCAGGCGCAACAAAAAACATCAAGACTGTCAGCGAATCACATACTACTGCAAAATGGGGTTCGCCAAAGATAGCATTTGAGTCAAGAGCTCTGAAGGGGGGCATATGTGGCAGCAGATCAAACTGCAAACTTCGCGACCCTCCATCGCCCTTGGTCCCGGGCCAGAGCCGGACCCATCCTCCTGACAAAGAGAAGGCCAGAGCCATGATCTACGAAGCGGAGCCCCAAGGTATACCAGCAATCCCCTAGATAGTAAACACCATACAATTTATGGCACTCTTGTGGTGTAAAACTTCCATATCTCTTGGTGAGCCGCCCGTACAGTCTGGAAACCGGGTGTAGAAGCCAGAACGTATGCTGCAAATGGTCTTTCAGCCCTTGACAGACCAGTACCAAGAGAGATTGCCACATGTAGGAGCCAGGTCAAGCTGCACAGAAGGCGTGCAGCTACCAACACCAGGCGATTCCGTTCAGGTTCCGATGTGGTCCTCTTCTTTTGGGGGGGAAGAGTAGGTGCCTCAAGCCAGCTTCTCAAGCCTTCGTTTCTCACCATGATCGTGGGGCTCTTGCTCTTCCCAAACACCAGCGGTTCGGTGAAAGTATCTTTCCTAGGCACTATATCACATGTGCCAAAACCTCACTCGAACAACTTTCGGAAGTATCGGACCACTCAAATCAGAAAAAGTACAATAGAGGTATTTTGACAAAAGCACCGGTCATCCGCAGTAAGTTACCAAATCCTTTAATCAAGAGCACCATCCATGAACCTTTTAAGGACTTAGACATGACCACCATCTAACCAATCCACTGTTACCCCACCGCCTCCGCCCCCCCCTCTCCGCCTCCTCGATGCTGCTCAGCCAGCGCTGCGGCAGCGTGGGCCCCGCGACGGAGGACAGCAGCTCGGCCGCGCCCAGGCCTCGGGAACTGGGCGGAGAGAGGTTTTGGTGAGCCGAAAAATTATGAAAAGGAGGAGAAGGGTTTGATTCTCAAGGAGGTTGGTTTATGAAAGGTGTTAGTGAAGGTGTCTGAAACCAAACAAATCTGAAAGAATTCGTCGCATCCTGCGGCTGTTGTAGCTGTTTTATGTTCTGATCTCGGAGATATGCGCCCAGTGGGAGCTGCCGCAGTGAGTGCGCCCAGCTGAGCCGGAGGTGAGCCAAGCTGCAAGCTGAGCCAGGTGTGGAACTCATCGGCTGGGTGGATGGGAGGGACCAAGATTCTCCCCGATCGACGGATGCTTGAGGCTTTGTTCTAGTCTTTTTGACTTTTTGGTGAGTTGCCCCAGGGCCCCCTGACCAGCCTCGGGTTTCCAATGTCCAAAATCCTTAGGTCCCAGTAGAATCATAGCATGCTGGTTGAAAAGTGCACCTCCACTTCCAACTCTGGCCATCCCAAAAACAGCCGTTCGCTCCTCGAAAAGCAGAAACGAAGAAAAACCTACAGTTACAGCACCCTACCCATTGAGCTGGTTGCAGGGTGTCTTCCATCAACAGCAGGGGGTCCTCCAAGTTCCAGCACATCACTGTACAAATCACCACACAGGCAGTTCATGTCCAAAATGTGCACCCCACAACTCATGTTGGTCGACCCGTCCTTCCCAAATTTACTACCCCACTGTGTGCCTTGGAAGTCTTGGAACACGAAGACGGTCCGACCTTCTGATTGATGCTTGGAGGGGGTAACAACAGGTGGCTCTGCCGCCCACAACACCGCAGATGCCAGGGCCTAACCCTGGGCCACCAAAGCACTCCCCCCGAGATTCCACCAGGCCACAAAGCACCAGCCGCTGGCCGATCTGCTCCAACCTCCGCCGCGTGGCGATCTCATCGCCCAGCGCGCGGGCACCCAGCTGCTGGAACCTTCGACTTTGCCCGAGTTTGGACACAGCACGGAGAGCGGAGCCGCGGCACGAGAAGCGGCGGGGCCAGGAGAGAAGGGCGAGAACGGCCGCTGGGGGGAGAAACGTGGATGTTGGTGGGGCCCCGAGTCAAGGCGAGGGTCTGGGTTCTGGAGTTGGATCTGGTGGAGAAATGGATGTGTCTCGCTGCCTTTTTGCTGCTGAAAGCCTGAGGCTGTCACACAACTCTTTACGAGTTGGCCTAGAAAAAGCCAGAGTTCTCTCCTGTTCCTTGGACCTCTTCTGCTGACCCCGGCAGGCCAGCGAGGTCAACACACTGAACCACTTGGTTGCAACCCAAATCTCCCGGCAGAGAAATGAGAAGCAACAAAAGTTCTCTCTGAACCTCTGGTCTTTCTTGGAACTCTGAACAGAAAATCACTGAACCTCTGCACATCTGAACAGCCCTTTCCACGGTCCCTATCTTGCCCTGAGAAACAGGGCGAATTAAAGTGGGTACCACTGGGTGACGCGGCTCTGAGCCTCACTGGACAAGGTCAATGTTGGCAGCCTGGCAAGCCCGTCCTGAATGTACAGCTTGGCTGCTCTAATGCTACTCCATCTTCCCTGGTCAAGCGCCGCATCATATGAGAGTGTATCCTGAAATAGGGCGGTGGCTCCGCCTCTTCGGAGACTGTATGGGCGAAAGCCCATGTGATGGACATGAAAAGATTTACAATATTGCTTGAATCGCTGTCGGAAGGCGGCCTTGGACCCTCGCCAAATGGGTATATGTAAAATGCACTGCTCACGGAGAAAGTCCACCAAGGTTTCTAAAACCATGAGAGTCCATTCGTTTCGGAGTGTTACGACCTCGGAGATGCCTTTAGCAGCCGAAGTCTTGGTTTCCGCCAATCGAAGCAAACCCATACCATTGCGAATCAAGATGTCTGCTCCGCATAAATCAAGAAGTTCTCCTGTTCGGAGTAGGCCGTCAAAGCCCGCCAAGATTAGAGCTCCGAACACAAGATCGCCTCGGGCGATAGCCTTTCCTGCAAAAGCATATGCTATGTCACGGGGCATGGGAGGTGCCCTGCACGGGACTTCAAGACGCCGCCAAATGCGAAAAAGTTTCCATGTTTGCAATAACTTCCCTTTGCACCATGGCATGAAGAACTGCAAGCCACAGAGACCAGCCGAAGCATGGTAAAGGGGGCGACCGGACTCCCACATTTCTTCTAAGTGATCGGCAAGCAGTTCGTCAAGTTCAATTTCATCTGTTGCCTTGTGAACGATTGGCAGCAACTTGCGGGCGTATTTATAGTATTGTTTCAACGTCTTAGGTTGTACCAAAGAGTCCCGGAGACTAATGCCACGGTGCTCATGGGCTCGCTCGGCGGTAGACCGGCGCCCTAAGACCCATTTACGCGCGGGAGGCATGGTCTGTGGGATTCTCAGTGGATTCTATGTGGCCTATGATAAGATAAATATTGAAGGCTAACAGGTGGGCATTTAGCTGCTGCAACACGTGTTGAAGCTTCCGTGACCCAGACCTTCCTTTTCCTATCACACTCATTGACACATAGGAGTCTGTGACATGAAACACTCGAGTGTCTAATGCGGCACGACGGCGAATGTGATGAACCATGCTCAAAAGAATTGCCCGAAGTTCGAGGGGGTTAATGTGATCATCATGTTTCCATCGTACACTTAACACTGGATGCCAGACCCACCAGGCCGCCTCCACTCCTTGGCGTGGGAACGCCTTTGGGTTAAGTACATCGCCCGATGCAATTCTGACATCCGAACCGGTGTGATTGGTCTTGGAGAGCAAGATCCGATTCAAGTCTCCGGGGGTGAAAGGGCGATCGACGGCAAGCGAACGAAACCCGTATTGCAAGAATCTCCCTAACGGAGCCTGACTCCTCAAGGGTGCCCTGAAACCTGGTGCTATCCCCATACGATGTGCAATCCAGCTATATTCCATCCGTGGAAGGAAACGCTGACACAAGGCTGCCCCTGCAATGCAGAAGGAGTATATGGAGAAGCTGTCTCCTAAGAGCGAACGCCGAACATCTTCAACAACCTGCGGCCCCACCTCCTTCTGCTTCGAAGCCGCCATGCACAGCTTGGTGTGGCCGAAGCCATACCCAAGCAAAAGTTCACGCTCTTCTGCAGACGCTAGGCGCCACTGATCGTCCTTCCAGAACAAGAACTCAGGTGAGTATTGGTAAGGAGGGAACCTATATGAGTCTGATGTCCAACGCGAGATCGTCGCCTCTGAGCATCGTCGAATGCCCGCCGGCTGTGGGGGTGGGCGTTCCCTCGCGATCGCCTTCATGCATGTGGGGAGGGGCACTCCGTGCCTCTCCCCCATCCACTCCCAAGAGGGTTCAACCCACTGAGAGATGTGTGGATAATCTGCCGTGGCATAAACACGTGTCCAATAGCTATGGTGAGTTACCCGGAGGTCTGTGAAAGCCTGCTCTAGTGCCTCAGAACACCATGCGAATCGGGGTCGCCGCATGGGCACAGCATCAATACTGTCCAACTCATAGGGTGTGAGACCAAACAAATTGGAGATCTCCAATGCCGCCGCCCTGTCCATTGATGAGACATTTTCGATGACCTTTTTAAAAAGAACTCCTTGTCCAAATTCCTCCTTGAGAAGTTGTTCAATCCGGGGGATCTCAAAAACCAAAGAAGAGGATGGTCCCTGTAGGCCTTGCCTGTTTGCGCGTACCCTAGATAAATCTACGCAAGGGAACCCGGCCCAGAGGTGAATTTCCTCAGCCATGGGAAACTCTAGGTGCCATTGTTTGACCAAGGCCTTGTCGACCAGCCGGACGTCCGGCGCGGTCTTGGCTTGTGGCCATCGTCGTTCAACGATTCTGATCGCCGGTTTGTGGAGTTCAACCGCAATCATACCAAGAGGGCGGATGTCTAGAACATCATACACTCTAAAGCATCCACCAATACCGTTAAACAGCGACACGACTAAGATAGGAACTGTTCCTATATCTCCACTGCGAACCTGTGAGCTGAGCACGAAGTCCTTACCCTCCGTACTCAACTCAGGGCCGATTCCAACAGCCCCTCCCTTCAACGATGCATCGGATGCTGTCGTACAGTCGTCCACCTTTGCCCCCAAAAAGGTGTGAAGGAGGGGAGCGAGAAGGATCAATTTCCATAATTCTTGACGAGTTCCGAGGATAACGGCTGGTGTCGGTCGTGTCATGGATGTGAACTGCCAAACCTGTGTGAGAACTACCATGGCTGGTCTCCTGAACTGTAGTGCATGCACCCACCGTCCAACAATCACCTGAACCGCTTTCTTGTTAAGGTGCCTACTGTAAAGAAGGAAGAGGGTAGCCTGTATCAAGCGAATGAACCGGTCCCCCGAGATCGACATGGTGTGCGATTTGCCATCGATCCATGCTCCCAGTTCCTGCGCCTGCAAGGCTCCTGACACCCTCTTCTTCTCCGAGGAGACCAGGCCGCATCGGCTCCAGACATCCTCAACAAGAGCGTGGAGGTGTTCTCCTTTTTGGAGAGAGCTCGACTCTGTGACCCGTTGGCCTGCGCAGAAGTTGTCTAAGTACACATGCCACCAGGGCCGGTCCCGAGACAGCCCTTCGTGGACACATGCTGTGAGGAACAATGGAAGGGAGCAACCACGAGAAATCTGCGAACCGGGTTCAGCACCACCCAAATAAGCTACCCTCTCTGCTACCTCCTGCATTAGAGCAACCGAGCTGATCCACCCCATAGGGATGACCCTACAGGCCAAAACATAGGTGGTGTTGTCGTCAAGCCCCAACTCTGCTCCTGATACTTTCACGTTAAATGCCAAAAACTTTGTCCAATGTTCGGGTAATCGAAACAAATAAAAGGCTGATGAAAGATCGCTCTGGAACAATCGGATATGTTCGTTCTCTTCTGCGGTTATACCCAGCCAGGAGGTAATGGAAGGAAGGTGTTTCACGCATCCTGCGATGGGTTCCATCACTGAGTTGATCGGAATCAGATTCATGATCAACCGTAGGATACTGCGCCCGTCAGATAGCTTGGATGGTTTTTCTACACCAAAAAGTCCAGAAAGAACAGGTTGTTCACGAAAGCGAAAAACGGATTCGAGGGGGATCCAACTACAGATTTTCCTGTCCACCAGTTCTTTGCAGAGGGGAAGGAGTTCCTCCTTGGAGCAATGCACCTTTGCCTGCAACCGAGGTAGTGACTGCCCCCGATCTGTTACGATTAGGGAATACGGATTTTGAAGAAGTCGTTGAGTTCCTGTTGAGAGTAGAGTCATAACATCGACCGAAGCCCCGTGTTCACCCGGAGGAAGCGCGGGAAGGACCTGCTCTCGAGTGAGGACATGGCATGTTCCCATCTCCTCCCCAGTGTATGAGATGCGAACCCCTTTTAGCTCACCTCGGATCTTGTCCAGGCTTCCTGGTGAGTGCCCCCCGAGTTGGAGGAATCGCTCAACGGCCGAGGAAGTTGCGGCCGCGGCACGGGCCTGCATCCGATTGGAGCGGCCGATGGCCAGCGGCTGAAGCCTACCACTCATCGAGTTGAGACCCACTCTTGTACAGAGCTGCCAGGCATCGTTCTGCCAGCGTTCAACGAAGGCGGGTGCAACAACTTCGTCAAGTGTCGCGGACTTCAACGCACTTTCACAAGCGTCAAGCGCCCCTTGGGGCAAGGGAAAAATCGCTCCTCGTGTCGAAGCGACTTGTGGCCTCCAGCAGCATTGGAATACTGTCTTGATGACCGTTTTGTCAAAGTCAACCTCTCCTGATTCGGAGATCCTCGCAAGTAGCCAGCCAAGCGCACAACCAAGCTCACCTAAGGTTGTTCCACTCTGTAGCACTCTGCTGAATACTTCGAGGCCTGCGTGCATCAATGGTGTCTGCTCCTCACTCTCTCTGGGCACGGGGTTTCCCAGCCCACATGATGTTGAGTGCTCCTCTACTTCTCCGCGGGCTTCTCGCCTGCCTCCTTCTCTTTGTCCTTCTTGGACTTCCCCTTCTTCTGTGACTTCCCTTTGCCTTTGGGTTGCCACCACGTTCCTTCTTGTTCGTTTTCGTAGTGGCCCCACTCCTGATTCCTCTTGCCTTTTCCCTTTCCTTTTGGTGGTCGCCAGCCCAGACTTGGGTCTTGGGCACGGCTCACCTGTCGCCCGTGCTTCCTGGCTGCCAGGAGGACGCCATCGGACAACGCTGTGCCCTCGGGCATTGGCATGACCTCTAAATGCCTTGCTGAAGCCCATGAAGCGTCTAGCAGCGACTGGTGTATGGCGATGAGCCGCCCTGCCAACACGTCTCCCAGCCTTGCCAGTTGCCATTGTCTCAAGAGGTCGATGGAGGTGGCCAGATTGTGCATCTCCCGGAGCTCCTTCGGGCGATGACCAAAGTGTGGTCGAATGGCTAGGGCCAAGTATGACACCACCTTGACTCCTGTCGTGAGATCTCCTCTGGCGGTGGCCGGAGTGTCGACTTCCGCCGACTGCTGAAGCTGGTTGGCAATGTGTTCCAGGAGGAGATTGAGGACTGAGCCCGGATGCTTCTGTGATCTCCTCCTCAACGGTGCCTCCAGCTCGGCGTCCTCGTCCGTCGAAGGTGATTCCTCCGAACTGCTCCCTGAGCCTGACGAGCAGGAGACTGTCCTCCCATCGGAAAGGGTCACCTTCTTGTGCTTCTTCTTTTTCTTCCTCTTCTTTTCCTTTCTCTTTTTCCCTTTCTTCTTTTTCTCTTTGCGATCCTTCTTCTTCTTCTCCTTGTCCTTCTCCTTGTCTTTGTCCTTCTTCTCGGACTTCCGTTTCGATGAACTCCTCGATCTCTTCCTCTTCTCTTGCTCTTCGGCCTCTCTGCGGCCCAGCTCGGCGGTGCCGGCCGCCCGCTGGATCAACTGTTTGTGATAGTCTCCTGTAGTACCATCTTTTATAGCCTTGACGGTTCCCTGATGAGCCTCGGCTCCCATCAGAGTTCCCGCCGTCAGAGCTGTCGGAGCCACTGCAGAGGGTGATTCCTCGGACTCTGCTGAGCCGCTCGAGCCCGGCTCTGAATCTCCTCCACTTTCGTCGTCGTCCCCCTCCGGTGATGGGTCTGGAGGACCACCTGCAGCCAACTTCTGCCGAGACTTCTTGAGCTCTGCTCTCAACCTCTGTACCTTTGCAGGATCGAGGGCTGTCTTGTTCCCAGGTCCACCTCCAACGCCTTTGCCGGTGACCTTGGAGGAGGCTGGAGTGGCGGCTCCTCGTGGTGCCTTGTGCTTGGCTGCACTCTTCTTGAAGGGTTGTACTGTTTTGTTCAACTCTCCTGAACCTTTTGCTTCCTTTGACCCTGGGTCTGTAGTCTCTAGTGGCTCCTTCTTGGACCTGCGAAGAGCACCTGGCCTGGCTGGCGCCTCCTCCGCGCCGCCCCGGCCAGTTGTGTCCACTCCTGCCTTGGGGAGCTCCTCGACCTCCTCTTCGACATCGATGGCATGGGATCCACCTCTGTCTCCCTGAAGCCAGGCGGATGCCGATCGGATGGCACGGCCAGTCAGCCAGCCCCCTGCTCCATGAAGCGTATGCCAAACAAAGCGGGTCACATGGAGGGCACCAGCCTCCTCTTCGAGGCAGCCTCCTCTTCGAGGCACGGCGTGCTCCCGCACAGGTGAAGTCGTCCCACTCGTCTGTTGAAACGAGCTGACATTTCTTTGTTGACCTCTGCTGAACAACCACCCAGGAACTTGGCCTCTATGGAGAGAGTTCCCAAAGGCTTGAGAAGCGTGGTGTCCATCACAAGGAAGGGGGCCCAAGACTCGCCGTCTACTGCATAGTCGCTTGAGCGAAGGTCCACAAAGAGCACATCGCCTTTGAGAGGTGAGATCAAACACCATTGCTCTAAATCGTGTAGGTTGAATTCTTCTCCCTCCGAGTGTGGTCTGCCGCTCATGGCAGCCTGTTTGAAACTGTCTTTGCCTGCGTCGGTCGCGAGCGTGTCCAAAAAGTGGCCACTCAGCTTCCGATGTACCTTGACTGTAGGATCAAACTCCAATCTTCCCAGCCGCTGGTGCTTCCTGCCGGCACGGTGACGGGGTTTGGATCCCTTGCACGATGATGTATTGCCTGCCTGATGTCGATGACGTTCCTTGCGGCCGTTTCCGTCCTTCTTCTGCTTGGGCGGAGGGCCGTCAGGTTCTGGAGGGCGCCTGTGACCTTTGCCGCCCAAAGGCGCGACGGTCTCCTCAATCACTTCCTCCTCGGACTCCTCCGAAAAGTGTCCTGAGCTGCTCTCCTCCTTCTTGGCGCTGTCGACCTTCCGCTTGGCCTCTGCACCAGGGGCGTGCTGCTCAGAGGTGTCCACTCTGCACCTCTTCAGCTCTGGCCTCTCGGCCTCCACCTCGTGATCTCCAGGTTCTCGAACTCGTGAGGTCGCTCGAGCGGAGACCTGATTGGAGCGCACGGCTTGGGAGAAATTTCGCAGCCCTCGGACCTGGCGGGTGCACGAGATGACGAGGTCAGCCGCCAACCGTCGTGCACCCTCAGCCGGCCAAGAGCTGCAGAGCTCTCGCCCTAAAGCCTCCCAGCCAGCGCACCCGAGACACCACGTGTCACCGTCTGCCGCACCAGACTGATGACACTTGTGGCACAGCATCAGCTGCACCACCCGTGAAAGGCAGCTTTTTGAGCCGAGCAGCGGACAGTCATTCGACACACTAGTCAAAAGACTACATTTGGCAACCAACGGCTGCCAAGCGATGGGAACGTTGACCGGCAAATTCTGGCAAGTGGGTGAATTGGTCGGTAGTGTCATCGTAGAGGCCCCAGTGACAACTTCTCCCCAGAGTGGCTTTTCGCAGACCTCCCAGCCCAGCTCTTTTGAGGCTCTCCAACGAAGATGGAAGATCATGGAAGTCGTCCGAAGCCCCTGTTTTGCATTCGTAAAAATACAATATGTTTGTTCGTGGCAAGTGTCTACTTCCATTGCCCAATTCTGAATCAAACTGGAAAGGTCTTGGCCACCAGTAACGAACAGAGCCCATGGGTCGATACGGGGTCACCTGCAGGATGTCGGTGATCTCCTGGCCAACATCTGCCAAGAGGTCACCAACAGACCCCTGACTTGCAGAAGATCATTCTGTCCACATCGAACCAAGCTTAGGCCGATGATCTAACAACCGCAGTTGGTGCAGGGGGCTTGTTCGCAGAAAATAAGACTTACTAAGTCGATTCATTCCCATGTATCAGGACTGTTGACCACCAACTGCCAAGGGCACCCGAAAACACCCCAAACCATGGAAAAAAAGAATCAACAGTTGAGCTGTCTGTTCTTTTCACCCTGGCCACCAGGCTGTTCAGATAGCCAAACCTCTTGGGCGTTGGTTCACCGCCACACGCCGGAAATCACCCTGTTGCCGTCAGTGAGAAGACCCACACGCAGCGCGGTCTTGGACAGAGGTTTTGGCGGAAAGGGGATCACCAGGTGCCTCAAACAAGCATCTCCAGGCCCTTTAAAGCAGATCCTTGTTCCGGCCAAGTCAGGTTGTTTCCTGTGAGATTCCAAGAGGTGAGCAAAGGTTCCCCCCAAAAAACGGCTATGTAACTACCAGACACCAATTCCGCGTCACCGTTTCGCCCAAGCCGCAGTTCCGAGGAGAGGGCCGCTAAAAAATGCCCGTGGACCTTCAGAGATCCTGAGAGCGCAAAACACCGGTCGTCCGCCGGGAGCCTGGAGAGCTACGGCCTTCCAGCCGACTACGCCTGTCGCGACCTTCCGTCCGGCACCCGCCAAGCCTGTCGATTCGGAAGAACCGTTTGGAAAAAAAGAAGGACGGTGTTCCTCTGACCGCAAAAAGGAGGGCGCGGAGGGCGCAGTGCTTTTTCAAGTGAGAGGACCTCTGGCTTTTTCAAAAAGAGAATCCCAGAGTGAGTCTTCCCAATCTTCTTCTTCGCTTGAAGCGGGATGAGTGTTTCTCCATGCGCCCTCGGACCCAACGAAGCACATACGTCGCACAGCACACCCAAAAAGGATGTGGCTCTATGGCTCTATGCCGTACACCTGGTTCATCCTGGTTCTCCATTGGTTTGGGCCATCGGCGCGAGTCCGGGTACCGAAGGCCGAAGGCCGCGGACCATCAGCGGACAGCCGGGGCACCAACGCTGGTGGTTGGGAAATCCTTGGTCAGGATCCGGAGCGCCAGCAGCTGGCTGAGGCTCAGCTTCTTCAAGTCACCTGGTCACATGTTTTGGAAGGTTCCGGAAGGAGCCAAGGACAGTGAGGGCAGGGGCCAGTCATCTGAGTTCCAAAGAAAATGGTCAGGAAGAAAAAGGAATGAGCTGTACACAACCCAAAGGTGGTGAATGCAATTCGCCAATGCCTTGTCGAATGCTGGAGGCCAAAGTCAAAAAAACACTTTGAGCCAATGAAGTGTTCAAAAACATCTATGTCTATATCACCATCATTCGCCATCTAATCTGCACCAACAACATCTCCCTCTCGTCCATCTCCACACCACATCCAAACCCGCTCCTCAAAAGGAACTTCAGAACCTCAGGACCTCCTGCACTCACCGAAATCCTCAGGACCTCGCGAGACGCAGCACCCCAAAAACGACGGCGGAACCCGCGGAGGAACCGCACCTTGTGCCGCGGCCACGTCGTTGGCCGGGCACGCCTTCCTGGGCTGCACAACGGTTTGGAGGACATATGGCCATAGCCCTGGGAAAAAGCATGGCCTCGGAAGACCAGGTTCCTCAGTTCTGTCGGTATGGCCCCGAAGGGTCGACGGTGGAGCTCTGCATCGGAGCTGGAGATGGCAAGCATTCTTGGCTGACTTGGGATGGATGGTTCCTGCATACTGGATGTGGATGCCTGGACTTTCGAGGCACCCCAGGGAGTTGCTGTTGTACCCACCATATGGCGAAGAATTGGACTTGGAATCCGACTTGGAACCTGATTTCATAAGTGGATCTTATTACATTTAGTAGTCAGGGCTATGTCGGCTATTTGCAGCGCTACTGTAGCCAACTGCAGTGTCACTGGTGTGCGTCTGTCTCGCAAACAGGTCAGCTGTGCACGAAACATATCGAAACACCCACCAGTGGCCTCGCCGCCCAAAAATGACTCAGGCACTCTCAACCCTCCAGTGAGGCATGAGTCCAACTTCCAAGATTCCAAGAACATCACACCTTCCCAATCTTCACGATCACCTTCCCACCCGAGCCCATCGACCCGACCCGAAAGCCACACCGCGGAAACCCGCCCAATGCCCAATGGTCCCACTGAGCTGCAGCTCCACATGGCCCTCCAGCAATCGCTCGAAGAAGGACGCTCGCAGCACTGCTGAGCCCTGCCGCGCCACAGCGGTCGCACGCTTCGGGGAAGTGGCCAACTGCGCCCTGCGCGCCACAGGAGTCCGCAGGAGCGTAGCGAGCGTGGGGCGTGGGGCGTGGGCCGAAGTGGGGAAGGAAGGGCCGTGACGATTCCCTCCAACAATCCATTTTTGGACTTTGCAGCCACGACACTGGTCCCTCCAACCATCTTGGAAGTGGAAAACCCCCGCCCCATTCGAAGAGAAAAAAGAAAACATCGTCCATGTTCCGCGTCCAGGTCATATCCAGGCTCATGTGTATATAAATTTCTATACTGTATATATTACTATATATACATATGTTTTGCAGGAAGTCAGTGATCAATCAGAAAAACACACAAAATAAACAATAAAACTGTCGAAACACCATCTGCCTCATCATGCCGAGTGCTTTTTCGGCCATCTTCTCAAGATACGGTCGCCTCTTCAGACCCCTTCGGTCTGACCCCGTGACCCCCGTGAAGGCTCCGCCATGGGATGTTTGGAAGATCGTCCGAGATCAAAGCATCCTGACATTCATGAGTCAGTATTCATTGTTTGGAAGAGCATCCTGTTTTGGGGAGATGGCATTCATGCGTAGAATCTTGAGCGGAATTGTCCGATGAACCACCTCTCCACAGTCCGACAGTCGAGGTGGCTATGGGTCCAAGGCGACCCCACCCGGACCCCACCCTGCACAAAAACAATTCAGCGAACGGACTTTGACCTAGCTTCACCAAGCAGAATGAAGTTCCTTGGGACAGCCTAGACTCTCCCTGAACACACGTGCTTCCAAGCTGCTGCAAGGCCAAGAGTCCCGACTCCAGGACCTTCTGCTCGACTCTCTCCAAGCGCCAGTGGTCCCGCGGACGGTCCCCTGCCGCGGTGGGGCGGAAACCGGGCGGTCGGTCGCTGGAAGGCGGCCGTACCATGTACCTCATGGGCTGTCGACCCGACCCCTGACCGGGGGAGAAATCAGGTGTTTGGCCCTGGACCGACGAGTTTCCGGAGGGCTCGGACGGGTCGAGGGTGAAATGTTGCCCATCTCTTGAGGTTGCGGTGCCCAAGACCTTCTTCCTACGGGGAAAAAAGCCTGGTGTCAACACCATCAAAGAATGTTCCAAGGAAGCACGGTGCAGTTGGCGCGAGCGATGGTCTTTTTGGCGAGCTTCTCCTAGCTGTCGCAAAAGCAATCTGTGCGCTGAAGCAATCTAATCTCCAGAGAAAAAGGAAAACATGGCCTTGTTCAGTCAGTCAGAATGCAAACATACATATTCAGGCTGTTCCACGACGTTGAGCGGACGTGCAGGTGTTGTGCTTTTCACCTCACCATTGGTGGAAATCAACGTTGCAGACTCTGGAAAGGCACCCTCCTCAACCGTCAGAGCCTCTGGGAGTACAACTTCTCGCAAGGAGCTGCAGCCATCGAAAGCACCAGCTTCAATGAGGATCACCGAACTGGGGATGGTCAACGTTTCTAGCGAACGACATTCGCTGAATGCAAAACCTCCAATTGAGGTCACAGAGTCAGGGATGGTCAATGCTCTCAAAGAGCTGCATCGGCTAAAGGCAAAGTCATCCAAGCAAGTCACTGAGTTGCTGAGGTGCAACTCTGCCAAGGAGCTGCATCCCGTCAATGCCTCGAATCCAATGCAAGTGACGGAGTTGGGGATTGTCAGTGTCCTCAGCGAACTGCAGTCCTGGAAGGCATAGGCTCCGATCAACGTCAGCGAGTTGGACACCCTCAGCTCTCTCAGAGCGCTACAGCCCATGAAGGCACTTTCTCCAATGCACGTCACGCTGTCGGGGATGTCCACTCTCAGTAAGGCGCGGCAATTCCAAAAAGCACAAACGCCAATCTCCGTGACCGAAGTGGGGATCCTCACGGCCAGCAAATCTTTGTCTGGCCGTCCAGAGTCACTCGAATGAGAGCATTCCACCACATCAAGGGTGTAAAGGACCAAGACCTGCGGGCGATTTGGGATGAAAAAGGCTTGACTTGCATGGAATTGCAATAAGGACCCAAACCGCTTATATCTAAACGCACGCAGCAAACTTGAGAGAGGAGGGGGTGAACGAAAGGTAGCAAGGAGAACTCAG